TTTTTTAATATTGATATTAAATATCAAATATTAAATATCAAATATAAATTTTATACCATAATTGTTGCAAGCAATATTTATGTCTGTAACTAATCTTTGTAATTCTTCTACTGTTCTTGCAACTAGTACAGTGTCGTCCGCGTATCGAATATTATTTACAATCTCTCCATTAATTACGATTCCTCCGTTTGCTTGTAAAAGGGCTTCCTGACAGATGCTTTCACTATATACATTAAATAACAGAGGTGACAAAATGCAACACTGTCCTACTCCTCTACGTATTTCTATTGCTTGTGATGTTTCAGTTTCTATTTTGATGTTAGCTTTCTGATTCCAATATAGATTGAGAATTATTCGCAGATCTTTATTATCTATGTCCTTCCTTTCAAGAATCTCTCTAAGCTTATCATGGCGTACTCTGTCAAACGCTTTTTCAAAATCGATAAAACACGTATGTACCTCCTGATTAACGTCTAGGCATCTTTATGTGAGAACATTCAAACCGAAGAGAGCTTCTCGAGCACCAAGCCCTTTTCTGAACCCCATCTGTGTATTACTAATATCTGACTCCAACTTTTGATAAACTCGGTTGTGGATGATTTTTAGAAATATCTTTAGTAAGTGGCTCATTAAAGATATTGTTCGATGTTCTGAACATTCTTTAGCATTAGATTTCTTTGGCAGTGTAACGACTGTAGACAACAGCCACTCTTGAGGTATAATGCCAGTATTGTATATTGTGTTAAATAAGTGCAATATTATACCTATTGATTCATCATTCAAGAGCTTTAGCAATTCGGTAGGAACCTCATCCGGTCCATTTGCCTTCCCAGTTTTGGAATTTTTAAGTGCCATTTCTACTTCACATTTTAGAATTTCAGGTCCCGTTTCGCCATATATCAGAACAATGTTATTTCTGTTGTCCTCAAATAATTCTCTTATGTATTCACTCCATCTATTAATTTTCTCTGTTAAATCTATAATAATCTTTCCATCTTTGTTCTTAAGCAAACTTATTTGACGTCTTCTTTGGGTTCTGTAATTTCTCTTACTTTTTTATGTATATTGAACGTGTCATGCTTTCTTTCATAGTTTTCCATTTCTACACATTGTTCTGTAATCCATGATTCTTTGGCATTTCTTATTCTTTGCTTTATGTTCTTATCAACCTCTTTGTATTTTTCTGCATTATTCTTCATTTTACGTCTTTCATCCATTAGTTCTGGAATGTCTGGTGTCATATTTTGTACTAGTAGAAGTAATACCGCGCATACCACGTTTGTTTGGGAAAGATGGAACAAGGTGGAGTAAGCATCATGAATTGAATCGTAACGTTCGAACTCGTGCTGAAAATCTTCTACCCAATCTGGCAGGACCAAAAGGTGATATTACGCGAAAATTGGTGATAAAAGAGATTTGGGAATGTTTTTTCACTACAGATATTCTAGAAAAAATAGTAGAATGCACCAATAAGTTCATAGCATTGAAACGCTATGACACAGTCAATAACAGAACGGCCAGGCCAATTGATCTTATAGAATTAAAAGCTCTGTTTGGGCTGTATCATCATATGCGCACAGCGCCATATCTGTTGCTAACAAAAGCAATCATCAGAATGCTGATGATTTATTTAGAACAGATGGAAGGCCAATGGAGATCTATCGCCTTACGATGTCGCTAAAGAGGTTCCAGTTCATTTTAAGACACATTCGGTTCGATGACAAAAGTATTAGAATACAAAGGCAAGAATTCGACAAGTTGGCCGCGATACGTGAGATTTTTGAAGCTTTTGATACTAATCTACCAAAGCATTACAATCTTTCAGCATATACTACGATAGATGAAAAGTTAGAAGCCTTTCGCGGCAAATGTTCATTCAGGGTTTACATACCGAATAAACCAAGTCGTTATGGTATCAAAATATGTGCTTTAGCAGACGCTGAGATGTATTATACGTCCAAGATGGAAGTATATGTTGGTAGACAGCCAGCAGGAAATATTTTGTTGATACGTTAAATATGTCACTTGTACCTCGTCTGTGTGAACCGATTTGGGGGACGGGAAGGAACGTTACCATGGATAATTTTTTCACAAGCGTTCAACTCGCGCGATTACTTCAACGTGAACATCGTCTAACTGTTATAGGAACGTTACGAAAAAATAAACCTCAAATTCCTCTAGTGCTAACACAACAAAGGCCAGAAAAAATCAGTATATAATGTATTATACGTCGACAAGCCTTGGTAGCAAAAGACTCTTTCAAATATACTAAATGCTGTCTTAATGTTGTGTATTAAATATGTGAATTACATAAGAAACAGTGCGTTGAATACTCGACTGTTTAAAACTCTTTGTGTAGATTTAGGGAGTGATCACAAAACACTGCTATTTCATACAAAAGTACGATGGCTCTAAAAAGGAAACATGTTGGCAAGATTATTTGACCTTCGAAATAAAATAATCACCTTCTTGGAACAGCAAAAGCAAAATAAACTAAGCGTGGCCTTCAAAAAACATTGTACCCAAGTATAATTGGCTTATTTGTCAGACATATTTGACTTGTTGAACAGCCTAAACCAAAAACTACAGGGTGGAGACTTTAATATAGTTACTCATCGTGATGCGATTAAGACTATATATTGAGAAATTGCAACTTTGGAGGCGTAAAATATCAGCAAAGTAGCAAACCCCTGCAATTATTCGAGTTTTTCTAAAGTAGAGTCAATCTTAGAAGTAACACGCTTTAAGGACATTTATGAAGAATCAGGTTTGAAAATCCAAATATCAAACCATTTGTAGAGCCTAATTGAAGAGTTCCAGAAATACTTCCCAAACACTTGTGACGATTGTATTTTCAGAATGTCAATTGACCCATTCCATGTCAACATAGACTCTCTGCTTGAGTCACTTCAAGTAGACGCTTTGCAAATAAAACATGATTCCTCTGATAAATACAACTTTAATATAATGGACAAACCTTCATTTTGGTTAAAATATTTCAAAGTGTATCCTAATATATCACGGGAAGCTCTTCGTTTATATTTGCCGTTTTCAAACATCTGTTTGTGCGAAAAAGCATTTTAAACACTTGTAGCAATTAAAACAAAGTGTCGAAATAAACTTGATGCTGCTAGTGACTTACGTTGTGCACTTACTAAAACTCAGCCACGAATAGACATACTAGTAAGAAAAATGCAAGCACATCCATCTCACTAGTCAACCTAATCTATGTTTCTTTCATTAATAATTTTTGTATTTTATAAAAATTGATATTATTGTATCTTATGGCAGTATAAATAAATGTTTTCTTTTCTATGTAATACTTATTTGTTTTTGTTTTGTTGCTAGGCCCGTACAATTTATTGTTATGTGTGGGGGGCGTGCGACAAACTTTCATTTCAACAAAAGGGGGCGTGATACAAAAAAGTTTGGGAACCCCTGCTCTAGAATAAAGAGTTACTTATTAGTTTAATTAATATTTGTAATAAGTGACTTGTAAATTCTGTGAGCGAACGCTAAGTTAAAAGCTCTTTGTTAAAAAAAACACTTAAATAAAACATCATACTATTATCAACGAAAGAGATTATCGAAATTTAATAACACTCGATTTATTATCATCAAAAGGAGAAGGTTTAACATCAAAACGGCACACTTAACAATAGAAAATAGAAAAATTTTACCTATATGTATAGGTTACTCGACCAAAACGGCATTGACAGAAATCATTACACTCCTTACACAAAGTCTAAACGACGGAAAAGTATCTTAAGGCATCTTTCTCGATGTTGAAAAAGCCTTTGGACTGGCCAAGAAAGAGTTGAACATCGGCCTGCCTCTCTCATTCGTTAGATTTATCCATTCATATGTCTCTCAACGTCTAACACAACCACTTTGCTCTACGCAGATGACAACCCAAATAAAACTCAAATGATTCTCTTAAGGCATCCATATCGCAGCAGATTCATTACACTAATCATATGCGAAAGACACAACCTTAGACTTCTGGGGGAACCGACTACAGCTCCAGTACGCTGAACTGGAGGACCGTCCTCGACACAACCTGTAACAAGGCTAGGAGTAGACTTGGTCTACTTAATGCTCTTTATGGTAAATTCGGAAGATCACTCCCACGCTCACTCATACACACATCTAAAAGATTTATTAGGCCGGGCATCGTGTATAGATCCAATTTCTATATTACGGTGCGCAGCCATCTCACACAAAAACTGCTGGCATTGGAGAGGAGAATCCTGCGTAGAGTGAATAACAAGCGCCACGACTACCCCTCCGGCCTTATACATCACCTGTCGATCATTCAGCCCATCGATGAGAGCCTCTCTTCTCTGAGCAGGAGTTACACAATCAGAACCATACGAGGCCAAAACTTCAGAGCCCAAAACATTTTGAAAACTATCTGCTCATCCATCCGCAATGTATTCAGAAGAAAACCTAAACTTAAAATCACTTTTTTTTATTTTTTAGAACAATAACTTCTGAAAAGTACCGTTAACCTATACCCCTTTCGCATCTGATTGTCCAGTACGCTTCTCCAACGACAAGTCCAAGAACAAACCACTGGAACCACGAAGTCAGCGAACGAAAAATAACAGCCAACACAAAAAAAAACAAACCACGTCCTAAAGAGGTGAAAACCTAAAACAGAACACCAAAACACCAGACAAAGAACCTATCCACAGAAAATAAACAACCAGACAATAAGTCTCTATGCATAAATAATATGACCATATCAATTTTCGGAACTACCGACAGATCCGTAGAGGCATATAACAGCTACATATAGTCCAGAGGAAGATCATCAATGATACGAGGAAAGTTTACCCGATTTGTATTGGATAATGTCTGCAGCAGGTACAGTTGAACAGTCAGGTACAAAGAATTCCTAAAAATAACCCGTAAACCTCTATAACAATGTTTCTTTACAAAACATCGACCGCGAACTCTACATGCTACTTGATTAGGTGTAATATAAAACTCAATTTAATATATATCTACTTTAATTATATATACATAACATTAAAAAAATCGAGGTATTTATAATCTATTTTATAAATTATTAATAACACTAATATTAAACAGTACTCTCATTTGGCTGTTGTGACATCATGACAATATCAGAAGGATAAACATACTTTTTCCTTCTTACGTAACAAGGACTAGGTTTTCTTTCACTACCACTGTTATTTAAACCACTTAAAAGCGGAAGTTGTTCTGTCCTTGAAAAACAATGATCTCCCTCCTCATTCTGCTTATGCGATAAAATATTCTTAACGGCCGCACTAGTGGATGGAGGACACTGCGATACATCAGTTTCCTCATGACTTCGCCTTTTTACCGACAAAATAGTCTTTATTGGTACCGCACTTGGGTTTATTTCGACTATCGGAGAAGTCACATCAGTTCTTTGCCGAGAGTGCTTTCCACGAAATAATTGCCGCCATCGTGGTGGTGAATACCTTCGCTCGCACATTATGGCGTCGACGGTAATGACTTCGGGATTAAACGTAACGTTCTTAGTAATATCAGAAGGAGTTCGACAAACGCTACCGGAATCTACACTGCTGGAGGGTTGACTAGAAGGTTTTTGAAAACGGATGGCTCGATGATCTTCGTCGAGATTAAGATCAATTGCAAGGTTGGATATCATATCTTGGTCCATTGCGATCGGTGTCGATGGAGACATAACCTAAAACATATTTGAGTGTATGATGGTTGTAAATATATAAATGTGAAATTCAGAAAAATATACACAAAACAATACAGTCCGCCAGTTTTAAAAACGTAGTTTTTTATCAAAACTTTAACTATCATTGTTTTGACAATGATAGTTTACAACAATTTAATCAAAAAATATTAATACAATTTTTTTACTAAAAAAAGGCGAAAAAATGGTTAATTTTTTTAAATGTCCGGCATTTTATTTCTTTTTAAGAATTTTTAATTTTACTGATAAAATATTACGTAAGGACACTTTCTTTTTAAAACACACTTCTCCAATTTTATATTTTAGACTTGCCGTTTCAGAGATAAACTATCCTCCATGCAGCAAAGCTGCAAAAAAGGAACCTGCCTACAAAATGGAAATACTTTGATAACGACAGACGAAAAGCTAAAATGATAAAAAGAATATTTGGAATAGTTCTTCAAAGACGAAAGAGGAAACCTACAAGACATGTTTTTCGAGGACAGAGAAACAATTAAAGAAATTACAAAGGAAATATTCTATGCAATATAGAACACCAGACACGGAAAAAGTTCGAGTCCAGATTAACTGTCTATTATTATCCTTAAAATAATAGAAAATAAATATATAGATATCCTTCTAAAGCTCTTTAATGAAATTTATCAGTCGGGTGACATACCCACTAAATGGTTGACCTCAACATTTATTTGTCTCCCAAAAACAAATATGCTAGAGAATGCACCGACTACCGCACCATAAGCCTGATGTGTCACACACTTAAAACGTTTTTAAAGATCATCTATTAACACATTTACCAAATACTTGATATGGATATTGAAGAAACCAAATTTGGATTCCGTAGAGGTGTAGGTACCCGTGAAGGTCTCTTTGCATTCAACTCACTAATCCAGAGATGCTTAGATGTGAACCAAGATATGTACGTCTGTTTCATAGATTAAAACAAGGCTTTCGATAAACTCCGCCACAAAGAGCTAATGGACGTCCTCAAAGATAATAATTACAATACAGTGACCTTTAAATTATACCAAATCTAAATTATAAACAGCAGGCACACATACGCCCTTAATGAACACAATAAACGTCAATGGAACACCAATTAACAACATTAGATATGCCGATGATACTATCATAATAACAGACAACCACCAAGACATTCAAAATCTAAAGAACAAGATAGTTGAGTATGGGGAAGAATATGGATTATCAATAAACATCAAAAAAATTAAATTTATGAGGATATCAAAAACTCAAAATAATGATGAAAGCCTCACAATTAACTGAAGAACTGAAATTAGACTTGAGAGTTAGGCTGGCAAGGTGTTATATATTCTCGCCTCTGCTTTACGGGATAGAAGCATGAACACTTAATGCGTGTATAGAAGAATCCTGAAGATATCATGGACCGATCATGTAACAAAGAATGAAGTCATGGGAAGAGTCAACAAAAGAATGGAAATATTGGAAACCATCAAGACACGAAAGCTGCAATATCTGGAGCATGTAAGACGTAATAAAAGATACAACATACTTCAATTAATTATACAAGGGAAAATCCAAGGCAAGAGAAGTGTAGGAAGGAAAAGAATCTCATGGTTGCGTAACTTGAGGGAATCGTAAGGATGCACGTCAATAGAACTATTCAGAGCAGCACCATCTAAGATCAGAATAGCCATGATGATTGCCAAAGCCTCCGTCGCGGAGATGACACGTAAAGAAGAAAGAAAGTTGAAATTAAAAATTTTATTTTTCCCTATAACCTTTATGTTTGTATGCATTTATGTACAAAAAGTTATAACTGGCGCTTTTAATTATAAGGAATTATAATTTGATGCATACTTTGATATAGCTAATAGAGGAAATTGTTTTCGAGATAATAGCATTTTACAAATCAGCTGCATAAGGAAAATTTGATAAAAAGGGCAATACTTCTGAATTTTGGTATGAAATATCTTTAGCTAAAGTAAATAGTTTTCGAAATACTAAAGAAAAAATATTATACGCTAATATTTCTTTACAAATATCATTAGTAAAATTAATAAAATGTTATAGGATTTGACATCATCAAACATTTTACGATTAAATTAAATTGAAGTTATAATAAACTACATTTTGTTTACAAATCAAACTAAGAAATAGTTAAACTGAATATCATTACACTTTTTGTCAAAGAAATTGTTCGACACGTCTCCCATTTTCTTCAATGCATTTATCAATACGTTTCATAAAAGATCGTCGCATATTAAATAGATCATTGGTTTAAAAAAAGCTGCTGCGGATTGATTTTTTTTAAAGTTGGCGACTGTTAATGGGATGCTTGTAGACACGTTGTTTCATTGCGTTCCATACACCAAAATCGAGCAGATTAAATTCTGTGCTACGTGGTGCTAAACGAAAATAACTACCACAACCAACCCAGCGTTCATGAAAATTGGTATTTAAGTATGTTTCCGCTGCCCTCTTATAATGTGAGAGTGCAACATCTTGCGTGAACCACGTATTTTGCCTTAAGTTTATTTTCAATTCTTCCAACACACCAATAAAATCATTTTATCATTGATTCTACAGCATACGTTTATTTCAAATTTATGTCAGTGAAAATATATACCATATGGTCCATATGTATGGAATAAATTCATTTTTCGCGTTATTATGTACTATGTGAAAAAAACCTGAAACAGGTCGATTTTTATTTTTAAATTGACACTTTACAGTATGAAAATAATATCCCCCTCCAGCACTCCCTTTGAATTATAAGCACCCCCCCCCCCCGAAAATGTTAAATAGCAAAGGGGATCGAGTGACATCTTTTTAGAAAGGGATTTTAATCCTCTGTTCAGCAATATCACGTTTTTTGAGTTTGTGCAATCATAACTTAGAAAATTGATTTTTACAATTAAATTAAATATTTAACTTGGCCACCATTATTCACTTCTTGACAATAATCGAGGCGATTTTCGAATTCACATACAAAATTTTGTATGACAACGGGGGTTATTTTGTTAATTTCTTCCGTTATCCCAACTTTTATATAAGCAATATTGCCTGGTCCATTAAAATATACTTCAGAAATAATCAGGTATTTTCGTATCTGTTCTGCTAATCATTAGGGGAAAAACTTTGAAGATAATAAAATATTAGTCAACAGGCAAAATAAACAATTGATATGAATCTAGTAGGCTGCTGTCATCTAGGTATTTAAGGTTACTAGAAGAGGTGAGTATACTATTTGTGCACGTATTAAATTTAATTATGGCTCATTTTTCCGAGACTAAAAGAATAGACATTTTAATTATGATTGGTTGTGGTAATAAAACAAGAGCTCAAAAGGAGGTTTGTGAAATGTTAATAATGAATACCCTGGTCAACAAGTTTCTCAGTCTACAGTTAGCACAATTGCAAAGAAGTTTCGTTATACTGGACATGTAAAAATAAACAGAACTGTATATATTGAAGCAGAGAAAATGCTCACTGGGTGTGTGAGACTCACACGCAATATCCTAAAAAAAATAACAATTGGGTTGGTATCATCAACACTAAAATTATTGGTACTTATTTTTTTGAGGGGACAGTTGATAGTGAGGTTTATCTAGATTTTTTAATTAACTTTTTTGTGCCTACATTGCAAACATTTTTTTTTTAATGTTGATAATTTTTTCCCAATAGGTGGATTTGAAGACGTGGGACGATCGAATCGCCGGCTAGATCCCCCGATTTGACTCCTCTCGATTACTTTTTATGGGGATATTTAAAATCTAAAGTATTTTTAATAGACCAAACAGTACTGCTGATTGAAAAGTTAGGATAACGGAAGAAATTAACAAAATAACTCCCGGAGTCGTACAAAATGTTGTACGAGAATTTCAAAATCGCCTCGGGTATTGTCAAGAAATGAATGGTGGTCATTTTGAACATTTAATTTTGATCATTTAATTTAATTGTAAAGTACATTGAAAAATACATTCTAAATATTATGAAGACTAAAATCCCTTTCTAACAAGGTGCCATACGACCTCCTTTGTTATTTAAAATTTTCGAGGGGGTGCTTTTACTTCAAAGGGGGTGCTGGAGGGGTAAAATATTTTTATACTGTAAATTGTCAATTTAAGAATATAAATCGACCTGTTTCAGGTTTTTTTTTCATATAGTACTTAATAACGCTAAAAATGAATTTATTCCATACACATGGACCGCATAGTATAACGATGTATTTATAACGGTAAAAATGCTCACAATGTATGATTTTTAAAATTTTTAAAGTTTTGCTGTTTTTTAGCGCTGAAAATAAATGTCGTGTACTTACAGTACATTCAACCAACTTATACCCATAAACGATTAACGGAGTTCTCAGAAACCTTTCGTTATAGTAAAAGGCACAGAAAACTGTACTGGTGTTCTCCATAATATTTAACACTTTGCTAAATTTTAGGTATAATGTGTCATTAAACCGTTGTTCATAGTTTTTCATATTTTGTTACATTTTTTTAATAAATGGTATTCTTGCATAATGTTATTTAGAGGTAATGGATTTTGGGAACAGCTATGACCTTGAACATTTCACATAAACTTGTGTACTAAATAGGCATAATGCATAGCTCTTGTCAAAATCCAATACAATAATAATATAGATAAGTTATATAACAAGATATTAATAATATAAGAGTATGAGTAAGAAAAGAGATATTTAGTTATATTCTTTGTGGCATTTTCAAGGTCATAGCTGTTCCCAAAATCCATTACCTATAACATAAATTTCTTTTACCTACTTTTTTAATTTTTTTTTTTTTTGATACAAATACTACCGTGCTAAGAGTAATTTATATTCCAAATAGATATACACAGTACTAAAATATCACTTTTAATTTTTGTTGAAAAATACTTCGGAGTAAACTAGAACATTTTGTCAATTTAAATATTGCTGGTTAGATTGACCATATGTCTGGTTCTGGTAAATATATTTAACTTTTTATTTTCAAATGGTAATA